CAAGACCCTCTGTCCCTTTTCAAAGGGTTGCAAATGGGCATATTTGGTTTTTCACAGAATTTATTTGGTTTTTCACAAAAGTGTTGCCATGGCAACAACACAGAAGGTTTCATTCTGTTTTTTGTTTTTTGTTTTTTTTGTCATGTACATTCCTGGTGCCAAGTTTGAAGAACACTGCTCCAAAATTTCTAGAGATATTCTTGATTCAGTGTTTTACTGTTCAAGTGGAACTATTTATGACGTCATCACTTTCTTTATTTGTATAATACAAAAACGTAAATATCTCTAGAACGAAAAAAGATATTCCAAAAAGGAAAACGCCATTCTTCTTAACTTTGAAAAGCCTTTCAAATAAGCAGGAATTATTTTTTACTTCATAGGCGCTTTAATGTTGCTATACGCTGAGGTATTTCGTGTAGCTTTCGCGCAGTATCTATTTAGGGATTTTCCTGCTTCGCGATCAACGTGATGTTTATAACCTCCGCATGTTTTCTAGATCTTTCACAGAATTCCTTCCAGCCGAATTTTGGCGTGTGCTCCGTCAAATAGCGCCGCTGATTTAATTGTAAGTACACATTGCACTAGAATGTACTAGAAAACAGAAAGTACACTTGATAACATAAAATGAGATGTGTTACAGTAAAAACCCGCATGTAAGAACCTACATTTTTGGAAGTCTGGCAAATTTGGTTCTTGTATTTTGAGGTAGTTATTGGCAATTTATGAAGGAATTATAGTTGTTGATTATCAAAAAAATAAATAAACTTGGGTTTGATCCTTGAATATGCAGTATTTAGTCACAACTGTATTATATATTTTCTTGTAATATAGATTTGTCGTCTCAAAGTCACACTTCTTGGTTAAAATGTTATCATGATTTTAACTGTAACACACTTATAAGAAACTGCTTGATCTTGCGAGAATTTAAGTTTCCATCTGCAGATAAATTCTCAGTGTCCCTTAGTTGACTCGTTGGTTAGCCAAGTTTGAGAAACAAGTAGTAAAATTTTAAAGTTGTANAAAAAGATATTCCAAAAAGGAAAACGCCATTCTTCTTAACTTTGAAAAGCCTTTCAAATAAGCAGCAATTATTTTTTACTTCATAGGCACTTTAACAATGGCAAGTGTTTTCTCTCCAAACTGTGCCGATCTGTACACTTAACTATCAATACAGTCGAACCTCCACTAATGGCCACCTCCCTACACCAGCCCCTTTTATTCATCCTGATGATGGTCTATACATTCACTCTTATTTACACTCTCTACATATGCCTCCTCTCCATAATGGCAACAGCCACCAAAGCGCGTCCCAGACTACCAAAATAACCTCTCTACAATGCCAGTTAATCAACGACTGACGAATGGTACATACAAAACTCCATGTTATATTTTAAAAGGTCATGAAACTTTATCTGTATCACTCAATGTTGGTCTCTGTTTCTGTTTGGTTTCTGTTTTATTGATATATTTTGATTACTTTAGTTATTTCTATGCTAAAATAAGCATTTTTAAAATATAAAAATGTTGTCCTCCAAAAAAGGTTGGTGTGATATATTACACTCCTACCTCCCCATAAGGGCCACCTCTCAACAACAGCCACTTTCCTCTGTCCCCAAGGTGGCTGTTATGCAGAGGTTTGACTGTGATACTACATTGCAACCTCTCTACTGTCAGTGCCAGCTCTAGAGGTGCTCAAAAAGGTGGTCAGGAGACAAAGTGAGGTACCGTTGACAGGAATTCTAGGGTACTCCTGTAGATCTTTCACTGACAATAGCCACTTGATACTGCCTCAGATTATTGTAGAGTGCTTCAGTTGACTGTATACTTTTACTTCACCCAATATCCAATATATAATGATTATTTTTATCATGTGACCCGTATGGCCCCCATGCTACTTCCTTGTAAAACCATAAGAGAAATGGTTTTAAAATAGTCATGATAAAATGTTTATTGACTGAGTCAGGTCTGGGTGTACGGGAAAAAAATTGACTCTCGGTCATGGCACACAAACCTTGCTGCACTTGGTCGTATGTCCTGACCTTGAGCCAAATATTTTCCTGTCCAGCCCTCCCACTCAGTCAATAAGTACATAATATCCTATCATTCTTCACACCAGATTTGCACTGTGCATGATAGCTACTGCTGTTGTTGTATTTATATGTTATGAACATTACACACTCATTATAGTGTTTTTTTTTTCAGAAGTTCTCTCCCAATATGTTCCTCACAATTCACTATGCCTTGAGATGTTTGCCCGAAATCTCACACCACACTGGACCAGCTGGGGAAATGAGGTAAGCATTCAATGTTCTGAAATATAATCCTTCACTTATGAAATTCTCTGAAATATTCCACACAGGTGTATGTGGTGCAGCTAAAAAAGTAAGTTAATTTACAATACTTAGAGAGGAAACCACATCAACCTAGCTGGTTTTCATGCGGGTTCTCTATCCTGGTCGAATTGGAATTCTGAGATGTTGGTGTTTGTGGAGGGAGGAAAACTGGAAAACCTGTAGAAAAACACTTGGAGCAAGGCAGGACCCAACAACAAACTCAACCCACATATGGCATCGGGTGGAATTGAACCCAGGTCACATTGGTGGGATGTGAGCGCTTTCACCACTTCGCCATCCCTGCTCCCAATAAAAAAAGCTAAAACCATGTTTTTCCCATTAGGCTTGAAATAGAGTCATAGACCTTGTTTCACCTCAGCAAGATTTGACATAGTTAAACATGAAGCTAATGAGACCTAATGATGAAACATTGCAACATGAAAATATACAGAATTGTAGTTTTGAGACAATTATCTATTATTATTTGTTTGCTTGTTTGTTTGTTTCTTTATTCTTTTTTATTTACTTTATTTTTCAGGTGTTGAGGTTCCAGGGTATGCAATATTTTGACCATTTGCCACCCAAGCAAGAAACCAATGAAAATGCTACCTAACTACGAAATAGTTCTGAGATTTCTTTTACCATACATTCATGTATCCCTTTGGATACATAAATGTATGGTAAAAGAAGAAAAAGGATTTTAAAGCTTTTTAAATAAAGTATTTGTTCAAGATAAAGATGAAATGTTCATTGTGTCACAGGTTTACAGAACTGTGAATGGTCAGGGGTGGACCCTTTGACTTTTGATGGGGTGTGTGAGTGATTTGGTACAGGCACAATTTTTTCAAAACCCTTTCATGCACTAGGCAATTTTTTTCTTGGGACGTGTAGGCATAGTAATAATAATAAATTAATATTTTAAGAGGAGGCCTCCAATCACTTAGAGGTGGCTTTCAGGAAGGTCCTCTAAAAAATAAAGTCTAAAATATACATTAAATGTCTAAAATACAGAAGTAATAAAAGCTAAAATCTTAAGACTAGAACTAAGGTTTAAAACTAGAACTACGATTAAAAATACTACAACTAACGAAGGTTTCAGTTTGTCTTTAAAACTCTTTTTTGGCATAAGTTTCTTAAGCTCACTCCGCAATCGGTTATTGCTTTAAAGCATGATATTTTTTTCTCTGTTTAACATGCTTTTTTTGGCTCGCTGAACGTGTGCTAATTGTTTTTGGCAGTGGCTGTATGTATGAATCTTTTTTAGCACAAGTATGCTTGCAGGATATTTTTTTTTTCAAAATCACCCAACCCTCTCTTAAAGGTTAAATGGTTCAACCCTTAGGGAAATTAGTTACATCCAACTCCTGCACCCATGCTATATTTAGCACTAAGTCAACACTCCATTACTGATAGGCTTAATTCTCATCACCTGTTTGCTTATCAAATTATTGATTGCGATAGGAGAATTTCCATGTTGGTAATTATTGATGTTTCTTTTCTTGAACAAGAAGGCATTTGTTGAGTAATAAAACAGGCCTGTGGATTTTTTGTTTAGCAAGCGACAAGCTAGTATTACAGTTTAGAAAACACGTCAGTTTATCACAACATCATGCCAGATTGTTGTAAACCCTTTGACCTCGAAAACCCCGAAATAAACGTGTCTGTTAACCTGTTAAATTCCCTATTTCTGATAAGCCACAGCTTGTACAGCAAAAATCCTTAAAATTCTAGTCCTAAAGAAAACAGTCACACAATTATTATAGATTAACTGCTAAACTTTCGCGAACTGGAGATTCGCTGAAACAAATAGATTCCGACTTCGACGGCATCGATTTCAATCATTTCATATCACTGTATGGGCGCATTCGGCAATTAGACTGAAAGACCCCCCGTATGATTACGGCCTAAGTCTTTCAAAATGTTAGATAGTTAGATAATTTCAGTCTGTAGGGTAAAGGAACTTTGTCTACAGTGCAATAGAGACGTTTTGTGGCGCACGAACGCCAAATTCTCTCACGATCCAAACCGCCTGCTGTACAGATTGCAAAATACACTATTACCAAAAAAGTCTTCAGTCCTTCGCGTCTTTCAGTCTGATAATCTGGAGTAAGTTAGAGAAAACACAAGACTTCCCTTACGTTCCAGAAAATCTGTAACGAGTTTGAGGCCGAATCCGCTCCCGTATCTCTTAATTAAGGTTGTTGACAGTTGTCATTAATAAATATTTAAGTAATTAAAAACTGTTAAAGGGCGTTTTGCGACAGTGACATTTAATAAGGACTAACCACGTCAGCTTCACCAACTTCCCCCTTTAATGGCCTCTGACGCATTAAAATTGTGATTTCTGATGTTCCTGTTTATTTGATTTGTAATAACGAGCGATAAAGAAATTTGTCTTTGAAGCATACGAAGAAATCGATCTAGTTAATAAGTAATGTTCATTTCGGAAATTCTTGAACTCAAGGTTATCAGGCAAAGAATCTTGGCATTAAGCCTATGTATTTGCCAGAACTGTTGTCCATTTTTGTTTTTCTTTATCGCCTACAGTTTGAAAAGTTTCCTTCTTCTTTCCCTTCCAAGTAAGGCTTATCCGAATAAATTCGATTTTTTGTGTCACACTTTCAAAACTCACGCACAATTGGTACTGAACAAGGCTAGACAACTATTGTGAACTGTACAAGGTCCTTGAGGCAAGTCAAGAGAATTTAATCTATGATAAGAAATCTTTATGGTTTGATAACGAAAAAAGAAACGGGACATCTCAAATGATCTCGGTAATCGATCGGGAATATAGAGCTGTAGTGCACATGTTTTCGTAAACTGAATGATTCCGGAAGGAAGACAAACTTCATACATTTTATTGGGTTTCTTGTACAATTAATAGCGAGTGTTTTTCCGTTATCAATCTCAAGTTCTTTTGCAGATGAGTTACATACTGTTTCTTGTTAATTCCGCTTTCGTGTTAGTTTGTTTTTCTTGCAGTGATATGTTTCAGACCGGTGTAAACTAGACATTTAATGTCTTGAGCAGGTTCTGGTCTTTTTAGCTTCTTATCAACAAACATATAAATCGATATAACGCTCGCGTCTCAGCTTTCCTTGTTTAATCGTTCACTCCTCCGCACTTTCTTCTCACCTAATTTGCAACCTGTAACAGAATGCACCATTCCTACACAAAATCCCTGGAATTCAATCGCCTTCTTCTTCGAGTCGTATCTGGGATGTTAACGAGTCTACACTGACATGTTCCAAATCTAATCTTGCTGATAAAATGCCATCGCTACTGGAAGTAGCAGAGCTTGAACTCGGGGAACACTTTGATGGATCTATAACACAATCAGGGCAAAACTCGGCTTGGTTTGAATCCATTCCTTTTAACACACCGCTTAAGAATGAGATGTATTTCATGGACAGTTTCAGAATTTCGTGTTTGGAGAGTTTTTTATCAGGAGGGTAGGTAGGCAGGAGCTTCCTCAGCTCGCCAAACGCCATGTTGACGTGATGTTGTCTCCAACGCTCGCGACTGTTCGTAAAATTCCTTCGGTTTTGGAATGGAGCTTCGAAACCAAACCCCACTGGTCTTCTTCGTATTGTGGTACCAAAATATCCAACGGGAATTGATGAATTACTGTAATAGTACGCTGAGACCATTGGCTTGCGAGCTCGCGTGCAATTAGAACTTGCAGCGTTTCTCCAAGACATCATTTGTTCATTTGCGTGATCCGCATATAAGATGATCTTTGCAAGATAACTCCTCAAAGACTTAATATGGGGGATATTTACCCTCAAAATCGACTTACCAGTCTGGTATATCGGTGGTTGGTTGTTTAGACTCACAGGTACGGGCTATACGTGGACCTCGTGTCCGGGCGATAAAACAAAATGTCAGACTGCGGACGTGTTTACGAGTTTCCCCTGGCTAGTTTACTTGAAATAGCAAGCCCTTGAGATAAGTTTCGCTATTTGTCAAACCGATATCTCGCCTTGTTTTGATAAATATCGAAATATCGTCATTTTGAGCCAATCCGATGTCAAAACAGCAAGGCCTATCAGCAAGATCTAAACCCTGAGAAGGGAATTAATTACGCAAGTCCCTCGCTTTGTAAATGCTACAGATGACCTAGTTTTTTTTCTTTTCACCAAACATAGAAGCAGCCCAAAGCACACAAATGGCTGGTTTACTGTGAAAGTTGACATATTTAGAGGAAAAAAGAAACAGTTGCAAAGAAGAACTTTAAAAATGTTCAGATGTGTTTTAGGGAGGGCAGAAATAGGTATTTGTACAATGTTTAGTTTGCGGTCGACAATGAAATTCAAATGACTCATTATGAAGTTGCTTTTTTGTTGATTTAACCTTATAAGCCTGAAAAGAGCAATTATTTCTGTTTGACGAGCACGCCGAACCGCGGTCATTCTTTAAACAAACTACTTTAAATATTTGAAGTAGAAAATGGATTTACATACTTGAACTCCAGCCACGCAAGTATTCAGTAATCGAGTATAATGACTTTAAGGATTTACCAAATACCATCAGATAAATGACTTGTAATTAGCTTAGTGTCTTTTATAATCCCGACTAATTAAGGGAAGTTTGTTATTCGCTTATGAAAACTATGTACAGAAGCTTATTGACCGTTGTAGAAGTCCATAAATGTACTGATTTCATTGTGACGCGTGCATATTCCGGAAATTCATGTCACGAACCTGGAAGTCCAATTGTCTTTAAAATAAGTTATATATTTATTTTCAGGGCTTTTCCTGTCTTAGATTGCGACAAAACCCTATTCGACCTAGTGGTTTGTGTTCCTAAGAATCAAGTATGAATTACATAAGTAATTCCGGTCCACAATTTAGGGGATATGTGATAATGACGCAATTTAACAGCATTACTTGATGAAATATTAAGCTTTTATATTCGCTCTCTCACATGAAATGTCGGCTTCGTTGGTTTTTTTCATCTTATTATTGTACACACACAAAAGCGAACCTTGCAACGAACGATTCCTAGAAGGTTTTGAACGATAAATTGGCCTCTTCACTGATGGCTTGTGAACACAGGGATACTACACTGGTGGAATGCACCACAGGATACCATATCTCAAAAAATACTCGGTGCATTGATAACGGCAGCCAAGGTATTAGTGATCTTTTAAATCTCGATCATTCGAGTAATTTCTCTTTAACATTTTAGGGTAAATTCTACTAAGCACGTACCGAGAGTTAAGAATCAAGTTCTCAAGTTAGTTGATGCTGTTCTTGTTTACATGACTGAAATCGTTCTTCCCGAACAGAAACATATCTACAAAAAGNAATGTATGGTAAAAGAAGAAAAAGGATTTTAAAGCTTTTTAAATAAAGTATTTGTTCAAGATAAAGATGAAATGTTCATTGTGTCACAGGTTTACAGAACTGTGAATGGTCAGGGGTGGACCCTTTGACTTTTGATGGGGTGTGTGAGTGATTTGGTACAGGCACAATTTTTTCAAAACCCTTTCATGCACTAGGCAATTTTTTTCTTGGGACGTGTAGGCATAGTAATAATAATAAATTAATATTTTAAGAGGAGGCCTCCAATCACTTAGAGGTGGCTTTCAGGAAGGTCCTCTAAAAAATAAAGTCTAAAATATACATTAAATGTCTAAAATACAGAAGTAATAAAAGCTAAAATCTTAAGACTAGAACTAAGGTTTAAAACTAGAACTACGATTAAAAATACTACAACTAACGAAGGTTTCAGTTTGTCTTTAAAACTCTTTTTTGGCATAAGTTTCTTAAGCTCACTCCGCAATCGGTTATTGCTTTAAAGCATGATATTTTTTTCTCTGTTTAACATGCTTTTTTTGGCTCGCTGAACGTGTGCTAATTGTTTTTGGCAGTGGCTGTATGTATGAATCTTTTTTAGCACAAGTATGCTTGCAGGATATTTTTTTTTTCAAAATCACCCAACCCTCTCTTAAAGGTTAAATGGTTCAACCCTTAGGGAAATTAGTTACATCCAACTCCTGCACCCATGCTATATTTAGCACTAAGTCAACACTCCATTACTGATAGGCTTAATTCTCATCACCTGTTTGCTTATCAAATTATTGATTGCGATAGGAGAATTTCCATGTTGGTAATTATTGATGTTTCTTTTCTTGAACAAGAAGGCATTTGTTGAGTAATAAAACAGGCCTGTGGATTTTTTGTTTAGCAAGCGACAAGCTAGTATTACAGTTTAGAAAACACGTCAGTTTATCACAACATCATGCCAGATTGTTGTAAACCCTTTGACCTCGAAAACCCCGAAATAAACGTGTCTGTTAACCTGTTAAATTCCCTATTTCTGATAAGCCACAGCTTGTACAGCAAAAATCCTTAAAATTCTAGTCCTAAAGAAAACAGTCACACAATTATTATAGATTAACTGCTAAACTTTCGCGAACTGGAGATTCGCTGAAACAAATAGATTCCGACTTCGACGGCATCGATTTCAATCATTTCATATCACTGTATGGGCGCATTCGGCAATTAGACTGAAAGACCCCCCGTATGATTACGGCCTAAGTCTTTCAAAATGTTAGATAGTTAGATAATTTCAGTCTGTAGGGTAAAGGAACTTTGTCTACAGTGCAATAGAGACGTTTTGTGGCGCACGAACGCCAAATTCTCTCACGATCCAAACCGCCTGCTGTACAGATTGCAAAATACACTATTACCAAAAAAGTCTTCAGTCCTTCGCGTCTTTCAGTCTGATAATCTGGAGTAAGTTAGAGAAAACACAAGACTTCCCTTACGTTCCAGAAAATCTGTAACGAGTTTGAGGCCGAATCCGCTCCCGTATCTCTTAATTAAGGTTGTTGACAGTTGTCATTAATAAATATTTAAGTAATTAAAAACTGTTAAAGGGCGTTTTGCGACAGTGACATTTAATAAGGACTAACCACGTCAGCTTCACCAACTTCCCCCTTTAATGGCCTCTGACGCATTAAAATTGTGATTTCTGATGTTCCTGTTTATTTGATTTGTAATAACGAGCGATAAAGAAATTTGTCTTTGAAGCATACGAAGAAATCGATCTAGTTAATAAGTAATGTTCATTTCGGAAATTCTTGAACTCAAGGTTATCAGGCAAAGAATCTTGGCATTAAGCCTATGTATTTGCCAGAACTGTTGTCCATTTTTGTTTTTCTTTATCGCCTACAGTTTGAAAAGTTTCCTTCTTCTTTCCCTTCCAAGTAAGGCTTATCCGAATAAATTCGATTTTTTGTGTCACACTTTCAAAACTCACGCACAATTGGTACTGAACAAGGCTAGACAACTATTGTGAACTGTACAAGGTCCTTGAGGCAAGTCAAGAGAATTTAATCTATGATAAGAAATCTTTATGGTTTGATAACGAAAAAAGAAACGGGACATCTCAAATGATCTCGGTAATCGATCGGGAATATAGAGCTGTAGTGCACATGTTTTCGTAAACTGAATGATTCCGGAAGGAAGACAAACTTCATACATTTTATTGGGTTTCTTGTACAATTAATAGCGAGTGTTTTTCCGTTATCAATCTCAAGTTCTTTTGCAGATGAGTTACATACTGTTTCTTGTTAATTCCGCTTTCGTGTTAGTTTGTTTTTCTTGCAGTGATATGTTTCAGACCGGTGTAAACTAGACATTTAATGTCTTGAGCAGGTTCTGGTCTTTTTAGCTTCTTATCAACAAACATATAAATCGATATAACGCTCGCGTCTCAGCTTTCCTTGTTTAATCGTTCACTCCTCCGCACTTTCTTCTCACCTAATTTGCAACCTGTAACAGAATGCACCATTCCTACACAAAATCCCTGGAATTCAATCGCCTTCTTCTTCGAGTCGTATCTGGGATGTTAACGAGTCTACACTGACATGTTCCAAATCTAATCTTGCTGATAAAATGCCATCGCTACTGGAAGTAGCAGAGCTTGAACTCGGGGAACACTTTGATGGATCTATAACACAATCAGGGCAAAACTCGGCTTGGTTTGAATCCATTCCTTTTAACACACCGCTTAAGAATGAGATGTATTTCATGGACAGTTTCAGAATTTCGTGTTTGGAGAGTTTTTTATCAGGAGGGTAGGTAGGCAGGAGCTTCCTCAGCTCGCCAAACGCCATGTTGACGTGATGTTGTCTCCAACGCTCGCGACTGTTCGTAAAATTCCTTCGGTTTTGGAATGGAGCTTCGAAACCAAACCCCACTGGTCTTCTTCGTATTGTGGTACCAAAATATCCAACGGGAATTGATGAATTACTGTAATAGTACGCTGAGACCATTGGCTTGCGAGCTCGCGTGCAATTAGAACTTGCAGCGTTTCTCCAAGACATCATTTGTTCATTTGCGTGATCCGCATATAAGATGATCTTTGCAAGATAACTCCTCAAAGACTTAATATGGGGGATATTTACCCTCAAAATCGACTTACCAGTCTGGTATATCGGTGGTTGGTTGTTTAGACTCACAGGTACGGGCTATACGTGGACCTCGTGTCCGGGCGATAAAACAAAATGTCAGACTGCGGACGTGTTTACGAGTTTCCCCTGGCTAGTTTACTTGAAATAGCAAGCCCTTGAGATAAGTTTCGCTATTTGTCAAACCGATATCTCGCCTTGTTTTGATAAATATCGAAATATCGTCATTTTGAGCCAATCCGATGTCAAAACAGCAAGGCCTATCAGCAAGATCTAAACCCTGAGAAGGGAATTAATTACGCAAGTCCCTCGCTTTGTAAATGCTACAGATGACCTAGTTTTTTTTCTTTTCACCAAACATAGAAGCAGCCCAAAGCACACAAATGGCTGGTTTACTGTGAAAGTTGACATATTTAGAGGAAAAAAGAAACAGTTGCAAAGAAGAACTTTAAAAATGTTCAGATGTGTTTTAGGGAGGGCAGAAATAGGTATTTGTACAATGTTTAGTTTGCGGTCGACAATGAAATTCAAATGACTCATTATGAAGTTGCTTTTTTGTTGATTTAACCTTATAAGCCTGAAAAGAGCAATTATTTCTGTTTGACGAGCACGCCGAACCGCGGTCATTCTTTAAACAAACTACTTTAAATATTTGAAGTAGAAAATGGATTTACATACTTGAACTCCAGCCACGCAAGTATTCAGTAATCGAGTATAATGACTTTAAGGATTTACCAAATACCATCAGATAAATGACTTGTAATTAGCTTAGTGTCTTTTATAATCCCGACTAATTAAGGGAAGTTTGTTATTCGCTTATGAAAACTATGTACAGAAGCTTATTGACCGTTGTAGAAGTCCATAAATGTACTGATTTCATTGTGACGCGTGCATATTCCGGAAATTCATGTCACGAACCTGGAAGTCCAATTGTCTTTAAAATAAGTTATATATTTATTTTCAGGGCTTTTCCTGTCTTAGATTGCGACAAAACCCTATTCGACCTAGTGGTTTGTGTTCCTAAGAATCAAGTATGAATTACATAAGTAATTCCGGTCCACAATTTAGGGGATATGTGATAATGACGCAATTTAACAGCATTACTTGATGAAATATTAAGCTTTTATATTCGCTCTCTCACATGAAATGTCGGCTTCGTTGGTTTTTTTCATCTTATTATTGTACACACACAAAAGCGAACCTTGCAACGAACGATTCCTAGAAGGTTTTGAACGATAAATTGGCCTCTTCACTGATGGCTTGTGAACACAGGGATACTACACTGGTGGAATGCACCACAGGATACCATATCTCAAAAAATACTCGGTGCATTGATAACGGCAGCCAAGGTATTAGTGAACTTTTAAATCTCGATCATTCGAGTAATTTCTCTTTAACATTTTAGGGTAAATTCTACTAAGCACGTACCGAGAGTTAAGAATCAAGTTCTCAAGTTAGTTGATGCTGTTCTTGTTTACATGACTGAAATCGTTCTTCCCGAACAGAAACATATCTACAAAAAGCTCGTCATATGTGTGTGGAATGGCTGTAATAGAGTTATAAGCCAACTCAAATATTCCTTTGTGGTCTGTTCGCAGTGCAGGCAACACGAAAACACGAAGCTACTAACTTTTTATCATACCATTTTTGACAGGGAGCCGTTTCTAGTTAGCCAGGACAAATTGATACATGTAAGATAACCGATAACCTGTAGATTAGCTAAATGTATCGATTACTCGTACTCCATCGGTTTTCTGATCCAAAACGTTACTGTGCAATCTTAGGTCTCAATTTAGCCGGGGACATTTTCAAGCAACTCTTTTTTCTAACATGTAAATGATGAAATATTTCTCAGTTGAGTGTTTCGTTTCCACCGTGATTCACTCTGCAGGTATCAAAGGCCTGTAGCCTAGAGCAGCCTACAACTAGCCCAGTAAGTAAGATTGTGGCCACATTTTCTGGTAATAGATGGTCCACATAAATACAAAAAGAGAGGAAAGCCATCAACTGTAAACTTGATGAATTCATCTGTAGTTCCAGTGACAACAACGTGCTTCTGTTAATTGTAATAGCTCTTGCTTCAGATAATGTTCCCAAACAACTGGCATTTCATTGGAAGAAATGCATACGTAGTAAACGGAAACTTATTTAAACCGGGAATTTATGTTTATTGGATTTGCTTTTCCTCGCTACTTTTCGGCAATAAGCATGTAATCCATAAGAGTTAGACAGAAATAAACTGAATGACTACCGAATTGATTATCATCGTAGTGAAATCACACAAATGATTGTTGACAATGATTGTTCAGTTCTTTCTTTTCCCATGAGTTAAACTTTGAGTTTTCCGACTGAAATCGCTGCGTTTTAAACTGACCAACATCTACTCAAGCCTTCCGTACACAACACCACAGACTATTGCGGTCAAGGTTTCCCCACAGGGTCCTACAGTTGAAGCTGGTTCTCTGTGTGACTACAAGGATTCTTCAAGTACTGATTTACAACTTAAACCAGTGAAGGAATCGATTGCCTAACTTATGGAATGAGAATTCAGTTTATGAATTCTTGAAAAAGGAAAGCAAGTTATCTCTTGAAAGAAACTTGCTTTAAGATCTTTGAAAAAATGTGCAAGTAATCGGAGTCAAACTCACATTTCAAACAGTTTGTCCAGACTGCAGTCTATTAATTCCATCCTTGCCATATTGTTGAATGTTACGTTATTTTACGATACCAAACCTATGACGCTCAGTCTGGAAGTCATGTTCAAAAAAAAAAAAAAAATTACAATATTTAGAGAGGAAAGCACATCAGCCACCTTAGTTTAAATGTGGGTCCTCTATCCTGATCAGATTGGAGATGTTGGTTTTTATGGAGGGAGGAAAACCAGAGAACCGGGAGAAAAACACTCGGAGCAACAACAAACTCAACCCACTTATGGCATCGGGCTGGAATCGAACACGGGCCACATTGGTGAGAGGCAAGCGCTCTCACCACTGCGCCAACTCTGATCCGCAAAAATAGATGCCGGCGACCCCTGTGCGCTCAAGTCTACAGTACAGGAACATTTCTTTTCTAGTTCCTAATTCTTGAGAGTTCGAGAAAAATAAATTAGGGCATGATCTCTATCAGATAAGCGAAAGCAAGCGTAAAATATTTTCTTGACCTCACAAATATGACATTATTCCACAAATAAAACAGTCTACTTTAGCCTGCATACCGGGCGGTCTTAATGCCGAGGGAAAAAAAAAGACCGTGTTTTGAGCGCTTTGCCTCGCAGGAAAAGCCGCCTACGCATTTAACTAAGGATGACACATTTTGAACCATTTCGCCTAAATTTATCAAGTTCATTGTTGCTCAGTAAATCTAAATAAACCATCCATGTTCGATTTTGGTTTGTGATTTACTTCCTTTGTGTTTAGTGGACTATTTTACAGGTTTTTTTCCACTTTAAAGTAATTTTCGACAACGCAAGAGGAGCTTCATCTATCATCATCTATCCTGGAGTGTATCTTAATGTGTAATGTTTACTTTGGAAACAGTTTCCAAATCTGAAAAACACATACTTAAGATGTTCGTGAAGACACACACTCAGGCCTAACATTGTAATATTCTTCTTGAGCTGCACGTTGGGTCTGAAAACACAGCTATATATTGGTGCCTTGTTTTGACACTAAGCCCAGGTGGGGTACTGTACAAGTTCCAGTTAACTTAATATATCTCTTCCTAATTACAGATAACCTTTTCAAACAAGCTCATCAAATTCTTCACCTGCTAATTCCAGTGCATCACTTTACATGACTTTTCCATATTAACCTCCGTAATACAGTATTAAAGTATTAGCGTTATCTACTCACTTATCTACTGGTCGCATCTCTGTGATGTTGTGGTATTTCCTTCGCTGTGTCGCCTGTGTGTCCGCGTCCCCAGTAAATAAGCAGACGGTAAATAACAGGGGTCCATAAGCTAAATTATCACCTGGATATTCATTTCAACCTCTCGACGTATGTTTTGCGTTCTTCATTTTTGTTACTCGAAACTCAAAGTAACACATCTCAGCAAAGAATACGAAAACAAATCAAGGAATTTTTCTATTGAAAAGCTGAACACATCCTATTATCTTGTAACGGCGAATTCGTGCGGAGCCGTCTAGTAGTATTGGGGAACTGATCTTTAGCAGAAGCTAAGTCACGGTTCCCGCATCTTGAAAAATTTAGCCTAATTTTTTAAGTTTGTCGTTTGTAATCCGTGTTAACCTTCTCCATCCTTAACCATCCTTGTTCCTTTATGGTTTGTTATTATCTCTTTGGTCTTTTTCTATCTTAGTAAACTACTATTTTCAGGCTTCCTTCAATTTAAAGGTAACTTTGTACGTGGACAAAATAACTCAAAATACCGTGACTGAGCTTAAAGTAGGAGCTCAAAATAATGGACTCCTGTCTCAAACTCTCTCAGCAATCAAAGGCAGAGAATCAAGCAACAAGAATTCTCTGCTTGATGCCTAGAAAACTTAAAATCAGGCCACACAATTTCCCTATGTGCTACTTAGCTCTGTGTAAAATCTAAAACTCTGAAGCGATCTTTTGAACTTGTCTGGATCAAAAATGAACGGTGATTGGTGACATAATTTGTCCGCTTTTCTAAGCCCATCATCAGGATTAGTAGTTTTAAGCCAGCTACAAAAATACTTTGTTGATCTACGTGTTTTTTAAACCTTCCCTTTTCCAAAGTAAACATAAAATTTAATTAAAAGGCAACTTTGATCAGAACTGTTGTCAATCGACTGTGCGTTTATCCGTTAAATTAAAGATTGTTGTTTGCTCGAGATAACTTCATGTATTTTGTACTTGATTCGAGAACGTGTTTTATTTCAGTCTCTATAACCTTGTCTATTAATGGAACGATCCTTTCACAAGTTTGACACTTTCTAAGTTTCTACCCGTGACAACAGATCTCGCGCCAGACTATACCGTGTGTGTTTGATGGTAATATTGCGTGCGGATCAGTTCAGTATCGCCTCCTCAGTCAACAAGTACTTGACACCGCCTTATATTGACCGCTAGTCAATGACGCAAGGTATCCCAGGGTGTATACAGCCTGTCAAGTTTCTACAAGTCTAAACCTCCTGCGCGGGCAATTCTTTGGACACGTCACGCAATCTTTCATCCCCAAAGTTAGGAAAACATTGCGTGACAAGCCCGAGAGGCTATAAGAGGGGAGGAGAGGGGAGATTTGGGAGGATTATCGTACCATGCTGGGGAAATTATTATTTGCTGAGTCAGATATCGAACAGTGACGTCACCGTAAACCTGATAACTACTTTACTACAAATGAATAGTCATTTGAATCGTTTCGGTCTCAAATCTGATCAACATCTGAATTCTTCCTGCTGTCTGTCACACAGTTGCTATTATTTGCCTTGGGAGAATTTGTTTCGGGTCATATTTTGCTCCTTGAGATAATTAAGTCCTTCATTCTCCTGACATACCAGTGACATGATAAGTTAAATCTATACGTTACAGGTTTCACACCTGTTCTTCAGCTTTCTTTTAAAACTAATGCACATTCCAGTCAATAGAACGATAAAAGAAAACACGTCGAAAATCCTCACCTTACCGGGTTAAGGCGGGGGTTAACATGAAGGCCATATTTTTGCTGGGTATTATGGTTTGAATGCAAATATCTCGTTCACGTTTCAAGCAGTGAAAAATCTCTCTGCTCATTTCACATAGCCACGTTTTGGGCTGTTTTGTAAATTTTTTGGTGATTTTTGGGTATATTTGGGGATAAATAGTTTTTCTCAAAGGATTAGTAAAATTTATGGAAATAGGAAATTTTGAAGATTTGATGTTGCTTTAAAATTAGAATTTGAAGTTATAAATTGGTAGACGTACACCAAACAGTTGCCCACCAGCCCGTGGTGCCCTTTTGGGGGCAATCAACTGTCTGGTGGTGTTCCAAACCCCTTTTTATCCTTTTAATCCCTCTTTAAACTTCCTAAAATTTCACTTAAATTCATGTGTACCCCCGCCTTAAGCCTGGGTTACACTAGCGACATAACGATATAACAAGGACGTTATATCGTCATGTTTGTAGTGTGAACATCCTGACATGATGACATAATAGCAACATAACAGTATGCACATGACGACACAAGGAAAAACCCTGATCTTTTCTCTATGTAGATGTTCACATTACCGACACAAGCGATTATGTTGTTATGTCGCTAGTGTGAACCAGGCCGTACTGTGACAAAATCCAACAGCTTTTTAGAGTCTATGCCAGGGTCATTGCGTTATGTTCTTAGACAAGACCCTTCACTCTCACAGCTTCACCCAGCGGTTGTTTAAAGGATGGAAAACGATTTCAACCAGACAAATCACTATCCAGTGGATAGTATAGTTTTCTTTGTCAGCACTTATCCACCGGCTGGAGATTTATGTGCAGCAGGAACCAATTGTCCAAAAGGTGGATAACACTTCCCAGTGGATTAGTGTTAATAAACCACACTATCCGCTGGATAGTGATTTATCTGGTGGATAGCGTCATCCGCCTTTTGCCCCACTGATCTGGGTCAGGTGGACAGTGTTAACCTCTCTTTGAAGAACTCGTCCCACTAGTGTGAGAACCGGGAAATTGCTTAAAGCAACCTGGCAGACTGGGGGATGGGGTGGGGCTGATAATATGTCGATCCTTTATGTTGACAATGGAGCATGGTGTAAGTACTGAACAACTCGATCTGTTCTATCCCACCTGTTTAATGTCAGGGCACAATTCAAACATATTGTCGAATTATTTGATTTTAAAAATAACGTGCTGCATAGGTTAAGAGATTTCATTCATCACAACGCATTTCTGGTCTTTTCTAAGCCTAGATCTTATAAAAGATAGCGATACATTCTAACATACTTCTTTGTTTAAAACTTTGCCAAATTACATACGATAGCCATGTTAAATGTTAGGTTTTTGTCATATCGTAACAGTTTATTTTTAAGAAGATTTTCTTAACTCGTTCTTCAAGGCTAGGTCTGTAGAAACATTTCAAATCAGAAGCTACTAAATTTCGACTGTATCTGTGTTTAAGAACAAAAACACAAATATTTATGCAAAACATTGTTTTGGAAAATCCTCTTAAGGTTTTGAAATAAATTAGTAATATTACTTCCATGGTTTTGATAAATTTAAGCTGAACTCAGCTGTTTATAGATGTACTGCAAGTACTTGTCCTTCGAGCGGAAAACTGTTCAACGAATGGCGGAAAAAGCTAACGGGAACCATCGGCCTTTTTGATGTAATATGGAAATATAATTATAGCTCTTTGAAAAGCAAATATTTTATGCTATATAGGATGATTAGGTTGAGTGTTAAATCGAAGCAGAATTTGGAGAGTCTTGTCATATCTTAACCAGAGCTTGACACACCGTCACCAACTGTGTTATTAGTTAGCAGTTTAGCACGAGCAGCATGGACTTGGGATTTCACATTGAACCAGTTATCGTCTTTAGGCGGTTATCAGAGACAAAATGTAAACAAAAGTAGCGAAAATCCTTTAATGACAAAATCTTAATGTCAAAATGTACCAGAGCTTAAAATTTATGATTCTGGATTAATGCAAAAGATAGTGTTTTAACATGGAAGTATACGTTTTCCTTCAAAACTTGTGAGATTGACTAGCTATAGCTAATATTTCTTCATTTTTATTTAAACATCTGCTAACAGACATGTGGTTAAACGCGTATTGCAGTAAAAATCTCTTGAATAACTTTGCTCCATATAACCGGCTTCGGCAGATTTTTATCGCAGAGATAGTTCGTTTTGGACTTCCTTTTTCCAAACAGAAAAAACATGCGATATCAAATCAAGGTTCCCATGATTTGGTGAAGAGTCGCCAAGAAGTTAGATCGCGTTTGGCGCAATCAAAATACAAGAAATCAGTGAGATCGCGTCTCTGATTTTCGTTGCAAGTTCCATTTTGGTTCCAGCTTTGTCAGACCGCACGCGCGGGTAATCAATTAACTGGTGTTAAAATGTTATTATTATAAGACCTGAGGACTTTAATTGGATTAAAGAAGGCGATTATATCATAGGCAATCACACAGAGAATGAATCAGACAAGTGAAGCTTGATGGCGATGAATAGCAACATTACTGCCAAGAAACTCTCCAAGACACACAAGTTTAAAGGCACGGGAGGTGTTCCACGGTATCTTGCAGCTTCTGTCCAAAGTCTTGATATCCCGACTGCGGATATCGAAAACCACATCCTGGCAACAAAAACCCTCGGCGTTGAAAGGAATATGTTTGCCATAACCAAACGGGAGCGCTGGCGACAACAAAATGTCAACATGGCGTTTTCTGAACTGAGAAAACTTCTACCTACGTACCCACCTGACAAAAAGCTCTCCAAAGTTGATATTTTAAGAAGCAGCATCAGGTATATAAGGTTTTTGGATAGTGTATTGCAAGAAATGGATGGAATAAAGGAAAGGGAAAATAGCACAGAGGCCAACAGCGCTGAGGAAATAAATTCCTCTTGTCATGAAAGTGGGGATGGAATGATTTCGTCCGAAAATGAAAGTTGTTCTTTTGGAACAAGGCCTCACTGCTGCTTTGGCAAAGAAAATTCATAAACAGTTGAACAACCCAATCATGATTCGTGTCAAAAAGCAAGACAACTCGCCAGGACTGAAGTTCAAAGACACGAGACATAAGCTCGCATTGTAACAAAGTTGGAATTTCGTTGCAACTACAAACTTAGGGTGAAAAGGTACAAACAAGTTCTTCATTATAGCTGCCCGAGTTTATGCCTTGTTGGAAAATAAACTGAATTCTCATTTCGAACAAGACTTGTCCTACAGCAGCGCAGGTAAAATCATGTATAACACTACTGAATTTGTAGTCATGTTTTACACAAATATTCTCTAACGAGTGAGAAGATAATACTAAATGTTGTAAAATGACATGAACAGGATTTCCCGCGTTCGGTGTGTTCAGCGAAGACACTAATTACATTACAAAGATACATCTCTTAGCTTTTTCTGTTGTATGTAACTAAACATCCTTGATGACATTTAAGAATTAAAAGATTACACTTGTTGAAAAATTGACTCTAAACTCCGATATCTGAACTGATTCAGTAATATTAGCGATACAATTGAACTGAAATACTGCTTTCAACGAGGAAAGTCTAGTTTATGGTTTCTATTTGAACAACATTACTATGAGAAGTCGAAAGATAGTATACCTATCGTAATCTTCGTATGGAACAACAGAAATTTTAAGTGGTCTTTTGTTTGTAAGGTATAAGCAGTTAGCTTAATGGAATAAAAACCTGTTCATTTAGTCACGAAAAGTGCGTTTATGGATCGCTGTCAAACAAAACACTTAGGAAGCACACAAGAATACGTGACGAACCGAGACAAGATATAATTCAACCGTGCCTAAGTTTGATTTTATCCTAAATATCTAGAAGTTTACCTATGTTCAATCATTTCATTATTTCGCCGTATCTTTCACTATTCAAAGATTTAAGAATGCTCGGAATGGTGATTAACGGATCGAAGAACCGTAAATGTAAAAACAGATTTGAGAGAAGTTTCTCTCCCTTCCCCCTTAAAAAACTTACCACATCGACATTTTAAATATATTCGAAAATCTGTGCCAAAAAACGAGAAGCCTGAATTTTGATTTCGCAAATTTTAACCTGTCGCTTGTGTTTTCGATGAACTTTCAAACCAACACACCCCAAAATGAACAAGGTTAATGCACTAAATCATTTTGTACCATAATTAACTACACAGCTTTCAAAATTGTTTTCTAAACGGTTTAGTGTAGACGAGAATTTACCGCAACAGATGTGTTGTTTAATCCAAATTGTAACAGATTCAAAGAAAAGCTAGCCCCCACCCCACCCCACCCCACAGTGAAAGACCGTGGCATACAAGCTTGAACTTCTTGCCCACAAAGCTTACCTTGGAACAAGAAAGCTTTGAACTAGAAAGTTAGATTAGAAGATTAGTTCAGAAAAGATGCGAGACATGCAAGGAATTCGACATATAAACTTTAACTGACTTTGATGGATTATAACCATCAGTTTTTTCGCAAATTGATAACCGATTAATTCTTCTGAAAGAAATGTCAAGGTCTCGGCCATTATTTCAAGTTTTCTATGTCGATTTTCACCGTCTTTAAAGTTTTCATCTGTTCATTATAAAACTAAGTATTCAAGTCATACATAGTCCAAAAATCAGAAGCAAACAATTTGACCGTGAAGTTTGTAGCAGTGTAACCCTACCATCGGAGATCACATGGTTAAATAATCAGTAGAAGCCTTTATTTTGTGGAAACGAAATGGGTGCTTGTGACTGCCAACGCCGGCAGCAAGTGCCAACGCTGGTATAAGGTGCAAAGGGTGATATTTCAGGCGTCTCCAGTCATGTTTAACTCCAGAATAGACAACAAACTTCAAGCTATTTGTGCAATGTCAGTTTTAAAATGAACAGTGATTTCACGAAACATTTTCATATGTAAAACTTAAATGTAACAGGAGTGTAGCAGCTCTGCTGAGCTGCTATTGTTTTATTACTGTAGCAGCTGTTATTGTTTTGG